TTTTTGGCCAGTTCGCAGTCCGGGAAGAGTTGAGCAAAGTTGGCTTTGCGCGGCTGCTTGGTTGAGGGTCAACGTTCAACATTTTGCATCCCTTGTCAATAGTAGCTAGAAGTAGCAAAGCAAGCTACTTGGCCCTTGCTGTGTAATAGGCCAAAGTTGTTCAAGCACGCAGTTTAAGTTTGTAACCACCAAACCCAGACAAAAACTGAGAGGTCAATCTGTCATCTGTCTGTCCAGGCTTTGTGAAGGGGTTTCTGGCTGTGTGATCGGAGACATCAACGTGGAGAAGATTTGGGAGTGGGCCTTTGGAGAAACAGCTGCCAGCATACGATACCCTCCTTTTCAAGACTTCGCTCCCAAGCTGAAAGACGCAAGCTTTGGGGTCGTTTTCTTTCTTTTCGTTTCCCTCGGGGCTCAGGGCTGTTGCAGGAAACCTTTTCCCTGACAGTATGTTTCCGTTTTGAAGGTTGAATAGCCCTCTTGCGTGGTCGCTGCAGGTCCTTGAGACCGTCGAGGCCGTGCAGGACCAATGGCTGAATCGCAGTATGGATCCGGAAAGCGACCGCGTTGCCCCGGTTCGCATAGGTGACCAGCTCCGCTTCACTTCAATGGCTGTGACGTTCGGGCAGCACGCCCTTGAGAGGCGGCAGGCCGAGCTCAAAGGCGTGTTCGGTTGGGTGACCACGCAGGTGGCTGGGTCGAACCTGTTCCTCCCACGGCGTTGTTACCGTCATGCTTCTGATGCCGGTGCTCCAGAAATAGAAAAGGTTGCAGAAATGAGCGAGGATGCGATTGACAAGCGGATTCAGGGTGAGGACGCAGACATTACAAACCAGTTGGGCTTTGAGCCAGAGGAGGATGGCGATGAATGCGAACCGGGTCCGGCTCCGAAAAAAATGCAACCCCTAAAAAAGCAGTTTGAATGCCATTGCTCCGAAGAAGGTCGCGAAGAAGAGGGGGCCTGCAGGTGGCACCAAGTACACAAGCAGAGCTGAAGAGCAGATTGAGTATTTGCGCGGTGCCAATGCGCCTGACTACCTGATCCCACGGACAGCATTCATCCGCTTGGTCAAGGAAACCCTAGATCAGCTTGCAGCTGCCAACCTTGCCTTTGCGGACGGTGGTGGAGTTCGGATGTGCAGTGATGCCTTGGCTTGTGTTCAGTGGGCATGTGAAGGGATGTTGAGCGAGCTGTTTGCTGATGTTGCCGCAGCCGCCGCGCATGGGAAAAGGATAGGCATCATGCCCAAGGACCTGAAGCTTGCGCTTGGACTTCGGCGGCTGGAGCACTTGCAGCCGAAGCCCCGTGATGAGCCAGGTGCAAAGCGCCCGCGACGGGCAGAAGGCTCTGGATGAGTTGCTGCCAGACTTGCGAATGAGAAAGGATCGCTTTTTCGGATGGGCCGCTTTATCTGGGCACAGGCTCCCCTAACCCAACAAGGAAAAACTTTCCCGGCCCGGGAAAGTTATTTTTCTCGAAACTCTTCCGTCGTGGTCTTAGAGATGTAGGGAGGGGCCCATGGTTTTAAACTTCCTGTAGTTCACGTTGTTTCATGTCAGCCGCTCTATTTGGGCACACGGCCCCCCTACCATAAAACACGGAAAAAAACTTTGCCGGCCCGGGAAAGTTTTTTTCTCGAAACTCTTCCGTCGTGGTCTTCGCGATGTAGGGGCCTATGGTTTTGAACTTCCTGTAGTTCACGTTGTTTCATGTGTTTCATGTCAGCCGCTTTATTTGGGCACAGGCCCAACCTTGTCCAGATACCCAATAGGTGTAGCTTTTAGAAAGGAGCGCTTTTGTGCTTGTTCTGTCGGTGTGAAGCGTTTTCAGGGAGAACTTCCATACGGTTCTGTGAGGGGTTGAGATTTGGAAAGCCCCCTTCCACGACCGACACGCCCGAATTGGACTGGTGCTCGATCTCCTGCTTCCGCCAGGCAGCATCCTTGTCCACAGCTGCAGCGCCCGCAGACCGGGGGGTGGGGAACGACCCCAAATAATTTCATAATTTCATCCGACGTCACTAAATCAAGGTTTGAAATTATTGAAATTAAGCGACGACCCAAGAAGTATTTTAAATCACCCAGGTTTGGGGCTATTGCCGGGGCGGGGCTCGTGGCCGCTGGCAAAGGACAGCAGCCCAAATAGTAGCGCAGAGAAATGCACCTTGCATTTGGGAGGTCTTGCTTGGGGAAGCTGACATTGCCGCTTTCCGACGGGGACTGGACCAGCTTCTGTTGTCGTGGTTGCTGTTGGTTTGCATTTATATACCCAAAAAAAACGGTTCCATGCGTACAGTGCGAAGTACCTCCAAGAAAGCCTCATAACCTTTCCTAACCAACGCGTCTCCGTCACCTGGGTGTTCCTCCTGGATTCCGCTTCCTCCTTCTCAGGCAGCGTAGTGGCACCAGCAGCAATAGTAGCTGCAATAGTAGCCGTAGCAGTAGCACCAGTAGTAGTGGTCGTCGTCGTGGTAGTAGTAGTAGTAGTAGTAAAAGAAGAACAGGAAGAAGTGGGAGATGAGTAGTAGCGGTTGCAGTGGTTTGCCGCAGAAGTAGGAGGGCGAGTGGTACTGTAGTAGTTGTCGTCGTCGTTGTTGCCCTAGGCGGTTGCAGTTGCGGTGGTAGTTGTTTTTTGCAGTAGTTCTTGTAGTTTGGTTCGTGTTGGTGTTCATGAGCGCACTGTCTTGTCCATTGCACGGATGAAACATTGTTGAATTCTGCCCTTTTGACGCCACATAGCTCTCAACGTTTTGCAGCAACCGCCAGCATTGTCGGGTTCGTCGGCCACCTGCAATCGGTTGTGGCAGGGGGAGGTCATGGTGGAGCTTTGGGTGCAAGTCTTGACATCTGCCATTTCCTTCATGTGCTTGGGCTTGGCATCTTGGCACAATGAGATGGTTTATCATGGTTTCTCAAGATTTCACCGTTCCCAGTCCCTTTCCCTGAACTTACATGTTTACAGACTTGCAGATGCCGAAGTGGAAGGTTTGGTTTATCATGTGTGTTTCTGCATGTGTGTTGTGTTGTGCGGGCAGGGATGCAACTACCTGGTCTTTGTGGCCTTTCAGCCTGCCAAGTGATCTCGTCCCAGATGAAATGGTGGCTAACGTCACCATTTTTGTCACGAGTGAGGTGGCATGTCTTGCTGGACTGTGTGAACGTTTGGCTTTTCCACTTTCTGGCCACACACCCTTCTTGCGGCCTTTGCTATGGAGTGGATGGTAAGAGGGGTCTAAGCATTTTTGCAATTTGCTGCCGCATCTTTTTTTGGTTCAACAAGCTCATGGGCTTCACAATCACCAAGACACTTAGATTGACTATTGCAAGCAAGACTTTCTTTTTCCATCTAGTGATTCACTGGCGAGTGGGCCTGAGACTCCCCTTGTTCACTTGTTCGGCCATCAGATCCAGGACGCACCTTACAATGTTGGAGACTTTTCTGCACTTAAAGTTTGGCCTTTCGTACGTAAAGGTAGGGTTCGGGAGTTTTGGCATCTGTGACTTGCAGCCTTGCAAGTTTTCGTTTGCTGTGGGCCCAATTGATGTAACTGACTGAGGAGAGGGCCTTTGAGCGCTCCTTAGGAGTGCAATTCCTCGAGTTTCTATTTTTGCTCTTTGGTCTCTCCATCTTGGTGGCCAGCGTCGCATTTGTTGGCGCTCATGTGGCGCCACATTTGCGCGTTCTCATTCTCGTTGTCATGGTGATCGAATCTGTGGCTTGCTCCAAGTGTCTTTATCCCATGTCCATTGAAACGACTGTCTCTTGTTCCCAGTGCATACCAATTTCAAGATGAAAAATAGCTTATCTATGCTGTCCCCAAGGTAGTCGTTCTCTCTTGCCTTTCTGTGGCCACTTTGATGACCTATGTATTTTGGTCAGCTCACAGTTATGCTAAGCTCGAAGCTGCTGAATCCAAACGGCCCGCAGACGCTGAGCTGGCCTTGAAGGCCGTCCATTTCTCGAAGAGAATGAGGTGGGCTGGAGGCAAAGTTAACATAAACTTATATGACTGACCTTTTTGGGAGGACAGAGGAAGTTGCTTGCTTGTGGCTTAGTCCTTTGTGCTTTGAAGCAAGACACCCCCAAATCCAGCTCCATTCGCTAGTAGCTGACAACGGCATCTTAAGGTGGGAAGCACCATTGAATTTCACATTGGTTGCAATCGCATTTGCTCTTCATGTTCTATGGCTGTGCCAGCTCCACTGGGCAGACCAAGAGCACATCCACACACTACCCGGGATGGGTTTCCTCTTCGCAGCTTGTTTGGCCCTCGCCAACTGCGCCCGCTTTGCAAACCTCCTTTCGTTGGTGGAATTCAGCCCGCAAAAGCCAAAGCACTGGCGGTCGATGTCTATGACCTTTTTCCGGACCTTGAGCAACGGGAGCATCATTTCTCCAAAGGGCGCGTTTATACTTTTGCACATTGCTCACCCTCAATGTGGGTACGTGATACACTTGCTTTCCATACATGCGAGAGACCTCTAAACGGGAAAGGCCACGGGGAGGGAAGGTAGTGAAAGATGACCACCTTTGGAGACCAGAAAAGAATTGGAGCACCACTGGGAACACATGCTAAATGCTTCATCTCCAAAGAATCTGGGAATTGTTTGAAAGTGCAAAGCATTCTTCAAGGAAGCGGCTCTCGCCAGATTGCCATTGGCTTCCTACTCACCTCTTACCTTACTACACCTTACTACTAGCATCTACTAGCTACCACTTCCTACCCCCCTGTCTTCTAGTGCCCCAACCACACAAAAACAGAAAGAAGACTTCCAGAAAGCTTTTGAGTTCTGATGAGGAGCTCTGACTCCGAAGACACCAAGTGGAAGACAGGGCATTCCTCCTGGGACGCCAAGACCGAGGAGCTGGCACGAAGGGGCGTGACTCTGCGAGCGCTTCTGGACTTTTACAGCAGCCTGCCTGGAAGGACTGGAAGGATGATACAGGGAAGAGGATTTCATTTCATGTGTTCTGTTCTTTAGCCCGGCAGGGTGGGGGGTTTAGGAGGCCAGGCCGAGAGGTAGCTAGTAGAGACTAGGTAGCTACTACATATGGACGCTGGATAGTTCACGCTTCTTCAAGGAAGCTCCCCCGAGCTGTCTAGGCTCAACGTCTTTCAGCTTACGCCCCACGCGAGGGCCGGGGTCCTGTGGTCACGGCTGAGTGACGGTGGGACGTCCATAGACCAGACACTCACCAGTGGCCGGATCGCCATGGAGATGAAGGTCAATGAGAGTAGAGACAGCGGCTGTTGGAAGTTTGATCCATTGGGCTACTATGGGCATGCCTTCCCCGCTTGCTGATTCTGTTAGCTTGGCGTTGAACGGTATTGCCACGACAGGTGAATGTCGAAAAGATGATGAAGAGTGGGTTCTGTTTGGGGAGGTCATGGACGTGCACGAGGGACCGCCCTTCCGTGCTCACCTGAGACGCACCTCTTTGCTCACGCAGGAGCCTGGAATGCCTGGAAGCTTATGGGCAGACATTGACTTGGTTCGTCCTGTGGCTCACACTCGAGTTGACTTTACACCTGGAATGTGGGTTGGCTGTCTTTCCAAGCCGGCTAATCGACCAGTTGGTGGTGTGGTGCACGCAGATGCCCCAATCGCTGTGTGGAATGTCTCTCTGTTTGAGCGACACTTAGCATGGAATGCTTGCACTTATTTGCCGGTGCTTATGAGGGATGGTTGAGAGCAATGTGGTGGTTGCAGCAGGCGAATCTAGGACACTCTTTCGCCACTCACACCTCAGTTGATTGGTGCTCAGATGTTATGAGAACGTGGAGCTACAATCACCGCAAAGAATTCCTTTCTTGCCCAATTCTGGAGTCGTACCATTCTCTGGAAGTCTACAATGGTATTCTGGCGGATATCAGTGAACGGACTTTGTTGCGAGCCACTTCGAACAAATCCAATTTGCTCATGACTCTTTCTCCTCCTTGTCCGGGGTGGAGTCGAGGTGGTAAGCACTCTGGTTTGGCAACTGACGAAGGATTTTGCTTCTTGGATTCAATTGAGCATCTCTGTCGAGTTCGACCAGTTCTTGCACTCTTCGAATGTTCTGATGGCTTGGAAGCACACCCACATTGGAGAGTCATTTCAGCCGCTATGCAACTCGTTGGCTATAGACGGATTTGGTCGCAAGATGTTGCCATGCACCAGATCACAAGCAATCAAAGTACAGTACACGGTGGTTGGCTGTTTGGTGTCGACAGGATGTGGAAGGCCACAAATCGAATGAACGCTGTTTGCTTGGAATGATCAGAAGCATCTTTTTGCCTTGCCCACCACGTTGGCTGCAGACTTGACACTCCGGCATGAGCACTTGAGTGTGTATGGGGACAGGAATCCACTTCCTCCAGCCAAGAAAGCTCGAGTTGTTGAGGGAGCCTCCAATCAACAGGTTCTAATGCAGAGGCTTGTCCAAGCACTCTTTGCGCTTCATACACTGCGCAGCATCTTCTCCAGAAAGAACATGTTGAGGCAAAGGGCATCTTTGCGACCTTAGTGCAGCAGCAAGATGAGTTTCGATTTATTGATCCTTTTGTGTTTGTGTCGCTGTTTGGCACATCTGCAACACTCGCATTGCCGATGGATCTTCGAAAAGCATTTCACTAATTGGGCAATGCAATCACACAGCTGCATGCGTTGGTCGCTCTGCTTGTCGCATTGGAAGGAGTCTCTGGAGAACCAATTCCTAAGCTGGCTTTGATTCAACAATGTTGGGAGGACCGCCTTACAGCCGACAAGGCTATGATTCGAGTTTGTAGTTTGCGATGACATGTGCGTCTTTCAACCTATTGCCGACTTTGTTGCCAAAGCAATGCCATCCATTGCTTCCTGGCAACCTTGGCTAGCGGGTCATACATTGATCAGATTTTGTGATGATGCCACGCTCATCCCGCTCAATATCCCGATTGAGAACTCTGTCGTTTTGAGGCTTCTTTGCGGGCTTGACCTTGCTGAACATCATACCGCACCGGTTCGACTGTGCTTTGAAGGACGTGAACTCCCTCAGGATGTCTCCTGGGCGGAGCTGCCAGTTGGACGGTCCTTCTGAAATTTGGCACCTACAATTTGTGTTCACTACAGGTGATCCAAACCACCGTCGATGTGAATGAAGGTGACCCCATTGTTTCTCCTACCCAGCCATGGTGTGGGGATGATGGAGGTCCAGAGTTTGACCATTTGGTGGATGCTCATCGTGCTGGGTTCCTTCATGTAGCTGAGTATGTATGCCAAGATGACGAGTCACGCCAAGTTGACAAGGTCCTTCTGCTTCAACAACATGGAACCTCTGAATGGATTCAAAGTGCGAATCTGGAACGCCTTGGCAGCATTCCCACTTTTCAGACACAGGGCTCCTCCCTGCATTTCTTCAAGGTCAATCGAGATGCATGTCGGCAACTCCTGGGAGTACATGTTGTGATTGCAATTTAGGGAACCTATGAACCTGTGAGCCCCAACAAGTGGGTCCTCTTGGCCGGCGGACGAGATCTGAAATGGTGCAAAGTATGCCAAGTTCCACGGGCTGCTACGCCCCGACAATGTTCCGAAGTGCTTGAACAGCAATGTCGTATTGTCAAGCAAAACCTGGTTGAATGCAGGTCTGGCCGACCGCTGATGCTCATCAATGGGGATGTATTATGGTGTGATTCACGGATTCGAAGTGCGTCTCCCATTGTCTTTGGTGGCATGGACCACCTCACTGACATTCCCAGTTGTAATGTGCAGAATGACATTGTCACGGCCCGGCTGTTGCAGTTCAATCTCGAACCCGGTTCATTGGCGCTTGATGAGATGATCTTCCATTTCTACACTTTGCAGGTTTTGATGCCTTCCATTTGCTGGTGTCCTCCAGCAGTGTGGGTCATCAATGAGTCGCAATTTCGCTTCCCTAATCAGCCTGCTGATCTACAGATGTGCTTCCAACACTTTGTGGTGCCGATCCTAGTTGTCTTTGACTGGATTTTTGTTGAAGTCCGCTTATTTGAAGGTGAGTGGAGAGTGCTTTACCATTCACCTGAACAACTGACCTTGAGGCAGAGAACTGCTGTTCTTGAACTTATGTCATGGGTGTGTAAGTGCTTCCCAATGGCTTTCGTTGGATCCGTACCACTGAAGACTCAGGACTTGCTGCCTGGCATACTATCAGGACTTTTTATGCTAGAGCTGGTGCGCCATTGCTTCCAGCCACGCATCGCACCACTCAGCGGCTGCAAAGGGTTCAGTATAGCGAGCGTGTGATGCAAGTCATAGACCAGGCTGATATGGTTTGGAGGGAGACACAACAGATGATCGCATGCTACAATTTGCTCGAGCCAGTCGCAATGCTTTCTTGGTTGCCATTATGGAGTCACCGAGTAGAGCGGCCGACCTGGCACTTCGTTCATCTGGCCGTCCTCCTCATGAGTACAATATCAATGAGATAATGAGATCATCTTTGTTGCGGATGAGTGGCTAGAAATGAGAGTGAACATCTACAGAACCCATCCCGGCTGGGCATCAAGTGATGAAATTGATTTTGCTCTTTCCTTCTTTTCGCCTGAGTCCTTTTGTCCGCCAGTTCTGCACCATGACCTCTCATTGTTGCCGCTGGGGTAAAGATCACGAGTGATGAAGTGCAAAGGTTTGTCGCTTTGAGAGAAGGACATTGGGTTGGCATTGAAGTGATCTGTAATGCCAGAGAACACGCCTGTCGCGTTGTGTTTCTGCAAGTACCTGCTAGGGATCAACAATTCTGGCATGATTTTGCTGAAGACTACATCATTCCTCTTGGGTTCCGACCAGCCATTATCGTTGACACTTCCCGTACAAGGCCTGGAATGTGTGGGTGGGGATTGCTACACAGGTGGATCGTCTTTGACCTTCATCTGCCTGAGGCTTTTCATGTTCCACAGCAAAAACGGCCGTTTATTGATTTGATCATTGGTGAGTCTGACCGAGCTTGGAGAGAGGCAGGAGCACCACCGATGCTTCGTGCTTTTGCAGAAAACATTCGGCGCATCTTCCTGCTGGCTGGGGGATTTCGTGTACTTCAACCTTGTTCTGCTGTGTCTTTGGGAGGCATGGAAGGCCAGCCTCAAACTGACTCAACCATGCAAACCGCGGACCCTTGGCAATTTGATGACCCATGCAAACACAAGAAGAAGCAGGTGAAGCAGAGCAAATGGGAAGATTTGCAGCTGCAAACTGATCATCCATTTGTTGCCAAGGACACGACTCCGCTTCCTTTTGTTCAGAAGCAACAGCTTTCGACCAATCGAGGGGGCATTGCTTTTGTTTCAAAAGGCAATCTACAGCAGACTACAGATGTCGCTCCGAAAGAACCTTGTGCTCTTTTGTTGCCGCTCATTGACCCAACTGACCCGTTGGCGAAGTTGCCAAACCTCTCTGGTCCTTTTGAGGCGATCGTTTTTGATCCAGCTTTGAACCAAGAATACAAGCGGCAAGTCCACCTGCTTGTCATTACACCTGAAGTCCACTTCACATTGCCAACTCCTTCGATCACTTTGACCCTTGCGGCCGTGTGTGAGATTATCCTTGAATGTGATGCCCGACTTACCAACAAGGATATTTTCCAGGCCTTCTATGACAATCCGCTGGCAAAATTCAAGGCTCAGTTGAAAGAAGTTTGCTCCGACCCAATTTGGTGCCATGCTGCTATTTATGGCTACACTCCAAGGATAAGCACGATGTCGTCCATCAATTCCTTCTTAAAGTTCAACAGAAGCACCGCATTCCTCTGTTGTCAGCGAGTGGCACTGGTGACCTGGTGGTGCGGGATTTCGTTCCGAAGGGCGAGCAGGGCCATGACCTGTCCATCATCCCTCATCCCTCGTTTCTGGCCTATCGATCGTGCAAACAAGGCAGACCTCATCAAAGCAGCATCCACAATTACGGGCTACCGTGGAATTGCTGTGACAAA